ATAGAGTAAACCATATTAGGAATAGCCCTGGAATCAAAGCCTCACACTGGATTCCTATGGGTTAATTTTTTTCACATAGTTCAAGACTATAAAGATATTTATATTGCCAGGGAATGGAACATGACACGAGGTGCCATTGTGATCACTTAAATCACCACCAGTGATGCCATAATATAAATTAGAAGTGGAGAGCTCTGAGAGACACCTCTGGCCTACATTGTAACCATAAACATACTGAATCTAGCAGTCATACCACAGGGGTTTGTGCTTTGAAAACCATATACATAATATAGATAATGTATTACATGAAAGAGTATTGGAAAAACCAATCCTCAGCTTTGGAGGAGCTTCCTGTCTCCTGTATGTCCTTCAGGAATAATGTGGTTGAGGTTCTAGCCAAGGAAGCAATGTGAATTAAATGCTAAATGCCAATGTTATTGTGATTAGTTTACGTAAGTGGTGGGGGAGAAATGGGACCATAGATTATGGGATTGAGACATAGGGTGAAGGTATTAGGTAGTAATAAAGATACTTGTCTGCAGGGGCAAAAATTGTCACACAATCCCCCCCCCCCCCATACCTTGGAAGGAAATTTAAAAACCATCTATAACTGCATTAGGGAGCAGTTTCAAGCTAATGCCAATCTTTTCCTCAGTCAAAACAGCACTCCTTATTCCTCTTGGTGAGCATTAATATATAGGATTTACATTTATATAGAAAGAAAGCAAATGCCAGCAGTCATTTTGTGCTGTCTTCTTGTCCAGGAAAGGAGAATGACAGTCTTGGTAGTCTATCCCATGAATACAAATAAAGAGCCAAGGCTAATCTACCCACATTCTCTTCCTGGAAAATCACTAGATAAACTCATTAAGTAGACAGAGAAAATGAGCCAAGAAATGTAGTCAAATACAGATAAGCACTCAGGAGCAAAGAGGTTAGATGATGGAAGGATGGATTTAGAAGGACAGATGGCTGCCAAAATATAACAGAAAAACAGACATTCTACATGAAAGGATGTACATACCTTTTTTAATAACCCCTCTGTATACCATCTCTATAGTAACAATAAAATACATTAAAAAATGAAAAGATAGAAACAAGAGAATATTTGGAGCCTGTATTTTACTTATATAAGTACAATTACTAGTTATATAACTTATATGTAACTGTTAATAACTATAACTATGATAATGAATATAGATAGACATTTATTAATATATACTTTTATATTTATTATATGTATATAAAATAATTATACATCTCTATATCAATCAATCTGTCTGCATATCTATTTTTCTATCATCTATCGACACAACTCAAAATACTGGGTGTTTGAAAATCATGATTACTTTTTGTTACCAGGGCTATACAGGGTCTCCAAAAGGTTTATCTTGTTTAATAATATTCAACTTGTTAACACACAAATGTTTAATTTTTCTGTTAGTTCCTCCCCAAACTATGAAATCTTGAGAGGGTTTTAGCAATCCACATAGCCCTGGAAATCCCGCAGCTTTTATAAAAGATTCTGGGATACGTATATTTGTAGTCCAGGGAGAACTTACAGTTTCGGAAAAATTCTTACGTAAGTTCCTTTATTTTCTATTATCAGAAAATTTTATTTGTTTCTCAAAATAAGGCTAGTAACCCTTTACACACACACACACACACACACACACACACACACACACACACACACACACACACACACGAGAACTTAAAAAGGAAGGCTCTTTGTAGTATCTTCATCATTTTCCTTTATGTTTCTAAAAGAGCTTAAGTTTCACATATAGAAGCTTAATTGCAGAGTGTTAGACACAAATGAAGATCAATTAACACTATAGGAAAATGCGAGGAAAAACTCCAATTTCACAGCCAACACTCTACCCTACTAAAATTTAGTGACAAAGAAAGAGCTTTTGTTAGTATCTCAGGAGCATGGATGGATAAGAAGAAAGTAGGAGGGATTATTAGAGACAAATGACATCAAGAAAAATTTAAAGTCCCTTTGGTATGATAATCTTCAAGAAACTGCGATGCACCTGGTCCTGTCTGTCCTCTCCCTGGAAGTGTACTCTTCAAGAAACTGCGATGCACCTGGTCCTGTCTGTCCTCTTCCTGAATGTGTACTCTTCAAGAAACTGCGATGTACCTGATCCTGACTGTCCTCTTCCTGGAAGTGTACTTTTCAGTCTTGCTGGGAAACACCACCCTCATCGTGCTCATCTTCAACAACTCGCGGCTCCACACACTCATGTATTTCATTAGAAATCTCTCTTTTCTGGACCTCTGTCTACAGTCCGGAGAGCCTACTAACTTGCATCTTGAAAGATAGAGCAGCTACTTTGTTGGCTACATGTTTCAGTTCTATTTCTCTGCCAGATTGAAATATATGGAGTGTTTTCTCTTGGCAGTCATGGCTTATGACGGCTATGTGGCCATTTCCAACCCCCTGCTCTATGCCCAGGTCATGTCAAGGAGATTGTGCATCTGTCTGGTTCTATATGCCTACACTGGGAGCTTAATCAATGGTGTCCTCTTAACCAGCAACACGTTCACTTTCGATTTTTGTGCAGGCAATGTGATTGATGACTTTTTTCTCTGATGTCTCTGATCAAGTTGGCATGTGACGTGAATGAAGCCATCAGTCTGTGCTCTACTTTCTTCTACATCCTCTACTTCTTCATCATCAGTGCCATCTTGAGCATCCCTTCCACCCAGGGCCGCCTTGAGACTTTGCTACCTTCTCCTTCCCACATCATCTCTGTCACCTTGTACTATGGCTCCATTCTCTACTTCTACTCCCATCTAAGTTGAATCTACTCCTCCAGAGAGACAAGAAGTTCTTGACCTTTAATACTGTATTGTTCACCATGTTGAGCCACATGATTTGCAGTCTGGGGAATAAAGACATGAAAGAAGCCCTGAGAAAACTCTTCAAGTTCACATAGCCCAAAGTCTAGATCCATTCCCAAGTGCTAAGTGATAAAAAGCTACTCAAGGGAAGTTTGGGGATATGGATTAAAAAAAGAAAAAGAAAAACAATAAAAAAACGACTTGTAGGAAAGTTACAGCAGGAAAGAAGAAACCTGAGAAAATGAGAGCAAATACAATTGGTTAGTGTCTACAAGGATTTGAATTTTTTCTGATTGTCATGAATTTTATAAATGTGCACATATCATCAATTGCAATCAATTTTTTTCATAATAGAATTCTGACCTCTGAGCTACCAGCTCCTCATGTGTAAACTTGACTAATACTCCCTGGCTTGAAGTTTTGTAAATGGTATTGAATAAAACATCAATCAAACCTGCCAGGTCCTGAAGAGACATTCTGAAGATTTCTTTTTTTAATAATTAAAATATTTTTCCGTTGGAATAATGCTAGCACTGGGTCTAGAAATGTTCAGTCTCTTTGAACCTGTACTTAAAGATTCCGCAAAAACATTGCATGGAACTTTCCTTGAAACAATAACACAAGCTCTCCACACATTGGTAATGTTGGGATCCACAGGAAGAATAATTAAATAGCAAGCATATCAGTACACAGCATTTGTTAGGAGAATTAAAACACAGAGGGTCTGTAGTGAATTGGTAACAAGACAAGAGCTAGCTGTATTACCTAACTGTGTCCACCAATGAGGGAGTGAGTTACTGAGTGACAATAAGGCTTAAGGTGATTGACTTAGGGCCAGTTCTGGGTTCATCAGGTTTTGCAACTTATCTTCCCATCAACAATTCAATGTATGCCCTACAAAGTTAAGAAGAGTGAGGGTAAGGGTGAATAGAGGAGGGATGGAAGAGAGAGGAGGTTGAAAGGGTTAATATTGGTGAAGAGATACTGTATTCATATGTTGTTAAATGGCAACATTTTGTACAACTAATTAAAGATAATTTTAAAAAGAATAAAAAAACAGTGGAGAAGATAAAACAATTCTTAATGTTTATGCACAAATGACTTTTATGGTATGTGTGTAGGGGCAGTTCTGGGACTTCAACTCGGGGTCAGGAACTGTCCGTAAGCTTTTTTGATCAAAGCAAGCACTCTACCACTTGATCCACAGCTCCACTTTTATGCTGGTTAGTTGGAGATAAGATTCTCAGGGATTTTCTTCCTCAAGCTGCCTTCAAACAGTGACCCTCAATTCTCAGCTTTCTGAGTAGCTAGGATTACAACTGTGAGCCACTGGTGTGTGGCTTGAAAATAATGTTAATTAAGCCATGGTAAAAATGACTTATTTAATTATTTTAATATTTTGTAATTTATATATTGTCCTCAAATTCAAGATGAATTATAATGAGTCCTTGGAGACTGAGGCACATATTCCTGCAGTGTGGTCTGGGTGGAATCTCGAGAGACTATGAAGGAAATGCATATGAAGTTCAACCACAGCATGACAAAGAGAAACCACAGATCAGGGAAATATTTGTTGCTTCCAGGAACTGGCCTTTCTCAACAAAGGTAAATACTTGGTTTGAGATTCAGTAAAGCTGTATTTCTTCTCTGTAATGTTTACCTATGAGTTATAAAGCAGCTATAGTCTGTTCTGGCCCTTAATGGGTCATTGCTGTGTTCAATATGCACAGCTGCCTTGTTGCCTTCACTCCTACACATGGACTCTCTTCCGTATAAATCCATTTGCATTTGATAATATGGCTGTGCTCATCTATGATTTGAAATTCAGTCAGAGAATCATGTTAGACCATACATATTGTTACTTAAGCAGCAGAGAAATTAGAAAGACAAAACATGTGACACAATTTTTACTTTAGTTGTTTTTCCTTGTGCTTTTTAGCCTATTAAGATATGAAGACTTCATTGCTAGGCACCTGTACAAAAATCTCTAAGTTAGATCTCAGATTTGAATCACTATTAGAATCTTCTATTTATACAAATAAGAATACCAAGATCTCTCAATAATTGCTGACTTTATGGGTTTCTTCTTCATTTTCTTTTTTTTTGTAAATGTAAACCTTCTAACTTATTTTTCCCATCATGATATAAACCAGGCTTTCCCCTTTGTGGACATGGAGGTGAGGAATCGCACCATCCTGACTGAGTTCATCTTGCTGGGCTTCTCCACAGATCCCCATTGGCAGCTGATTCTATTTGGAATATTTTTAATTATCTACTTGTTAACCTTGTCAGGGAACATGACCCTGGTTATCTTAATCCGTATTGATTCCCGGCTTCATACTCCTATGTACTTTTTCATTGGTGGTCTTTCCTTCTTGGATTTCTGGTATACATCTGTGTACACCCCTAAAATATTGGTCAATTGTGTCTCAGAGGACAAGCGCATCTCCTTGGCTGGGTGTGGGGCTCAGTTCTTCTTCTCCTGTGTGGCGGCCTACACTGAGTGCTATCTGCTATCAGCCATGGCGTATGATCGTTATGTGGCCATTTGCAACCCGTTGCTTTATTCAGCTACCATGTCTGCTTCTATTTGTACTAGACTTATTTCTGGCTCTTACTTAGGAGGATTTCTGAATGCCATCGCCCACACTGCCAACACCTTCCGGCTGAGTTTCTGTGGTGAGAAGGTCATTGACTACTTTTTCTGTGATGTGCTGCCATTGGTAAAAAAATCTTGTACGGACACTAGGGTCTACGGGAAAATCCTTTCCAGTATGGTGGGCTTCACTGTCCTGTCATGTCTTGTTGTCATCCTCGTTTCCTATTTCAACATCCTGCTGGCTATCCTGAGGATCCGCTCAGCCTCGGGAAGGCGCAAGGCTTTCTCCACCTGTGCCTCCCACCTCATCTCCGTCACGCTCTTCTTTGGATCTTTGCTCTTCATGTATTCGAGGCCCAGTTCTAACTACTCCCCGGAGAGGGACAAAGTGGCTGCTCTGTTCTACACCATCATCAACCCCCTGCTCAACCCTCTCATCTACAGCCTGAGAAACAAGGACGTCAAAGAGGCCTTGAGGAAAGCCACAAGAATGGTACAAGCACAATCATGAAGGTTACCATGTAGACTCTGTAATTTACAAATTGTGTGCAGTAATGTATTTGAAATAATTTGACAAGGTAAGACAATGAAAACCTGAGCAAGCCTCCATTTCATCGTGATTCTTATGTTATTGTGACCTAAGTCTCTTAAGTCTAGATTATTGTATCCACTTTGATTCTTGGTAATACTAGATTTTAAAAATTTACCTGGGAGTTATTAGAAAGAGAACTAATATTTGAACAGGTTTTCTACAGCTAGTTAGACTAAAGAATTTTGTGATGCTTATTATATAAGACCATGATATAAAATAGGAAGATTGATGGAAATTTGCTTAATATTTCACTTACATGTATGTTTCTATAAGATGCTGTCTTCAAATTTCTTCCTGTGGGGTAGTTGAACTTCTAGAATATAATTTTGTAATTTGTGTAGAATTTATATCAACATGGTAATAGGAAAATTGCTTTAAGAGTTGTCCAAATTAAGAAAGAAACAAACAAAAGCATTCTAATAAATGATTTGTTCATAGGGCTGACAAGGTTCAAGCGAAGAGCATTTCTTGTATAGAAAGTGAGCGCTCAACTATACTCTCTGAGTTTGCACAATATAATCCCATCAAATGGACATATATGTGTATATATGCCTAGCATCACATGGAGCACAATGAAATTAATGAACTAATTACATTTTTCCCTTATCAGAACTTTTTGTCTACATCAAATTAATGATTGTAAAGTGTTTTATATATATATATAACAAATTGCTGCTCAGAGCTTAAGAACTTTTGTTATTGATGATCATAGCTATTATGAGGATGAGTTTAATTTCATTAGACACTTACATTTTTAAAATGAGGACAAATGGATGTAACCACTTGGACCTTTGTATTTGTTCCAGAATTTCTTTTTCTTAATTAAGATTTTATTATGAAAATACTGTATAGAGGGGTTACAGTTACATGAGCAAGGTAATGAGTACATTTTTTTAATCTAGCATTGTTGCCTCCTCCTTTGTTTTTCTTCTCCTATCCCTTCCCTCCCACCTCCTCAGCTACCTCCCCCCACCCCCGTAAAGTTTGTTTTTCGACATAGTGTCTTGTACACCTCATTGTTGCAATGGGTCAATCTGTTCCAAAAATTCTGATATTTCCCTTTACCTGTGTTTATTCAAACTTTCCTTATTTCATTGTTCTTCTAATACAAGAGAACTTGGTTAGTACTTGATAAGAAGTTCTTCTCTGTTGCCCATGTAATATTATATCCCCTCCTCACAACATCAACATAGAACATAAAAAAGGAAATTGGCACAATCTTAGTGGAGGGAGCCACTTAAAACTTATAGGGATTCTACAAGTATGTCTTCTGCCCTTTTAAAAATAGGTCCTGAATATTTTTAAAAATCTTTATGCTAGGAGAAATAATAGTCTATATTTTTGATTACAAATATATCATTAATAGAAATGTACAAAAATCTTTCTTGGCTAATTTATTTCCCTATCAAAAACAGTGAGGATCACAAAATATTCAATTTCTCAACCTTATCCTGAGCAGCCTGCCATCACTTAGAACTAATTTGAAGTAAATAGTCTCAATTTAGATTCTGTATGGAGCAGAGAAGAATATAATTTCCTCAGCCAATTTAAATGATGTCATAATCTGAGCAAAACCCAAGAGATGTAGTTAAGTCATTAATATCAAACAGCCATTTTTCATCCTTTGGTGTTGTATATGGGAATTTTCATGGCTTTAACTATTCTTTTAATAATGAGAAAGTCCTAAGGTGGTGTGGCTTTATTCCATTTCTTTTTCTCCAGAAAGCATTTCTTGAGTCAAGTGTGTTCCAGATCCTGAGAAATTCCAGTGAGGACACTATGCCTGTTCCTATTCCAGACATGAGTGACACATGATTTTTTAAAAAATACTGAGTAAAGATAGATTTTCATTTCCTGTTTAATGTTATTGAGAAAATAAAATAGCACAATGGGATGGAGTAGGAAATGAATTAACTAAACGTAGACATGGCAACAAGAGATAAATGATCATGTACTTTAATGATATTTCTCAGTATTATAAATGGTAACAGAAATATGAATAGTGTGCTATTTCTAGTCATTGGAAAAATTTAATTTAAAACCACAATGAGAGAACACACTACACCTATTGGGATGGCTATTATAAAAAAAATACCAGTTAGGCTGGGCTCAGTGACTCATGCCTGTAATACTAGCTACTTGGAAAATATAAGAGGATCATTATTGGAGGTCAGCAAAAAGTGAGACTCCATCTCAACTAAAAGCTGGCATGCTAGTATAAGCGTGTCATCCTAGGTATATAGAAAACATGAATATGGACTTTGAGCTCTAGAAAATATACTTCAAAAATAACTGAAGGAAGAAGTGTCAGGGGTGTAGCCCAAGTGGTAAAGCGCCAGCTTGACAAATGAAAAGCTCAGAGTTCCTAACTCAATATCGCCAAAAATAGATAAGGAAATAAATAAATATGATCAATTAAGTTTGGGAGAGGCCATTCAGAAAAAGGAAATGTTGTACAAGATTTGTAGGAATTCATATAACTAAGAACATTCGACAAACAATATGGTGTTCACTCAAGAGTGGTTATTTGCTTTGATAACTCCCCAAAGAAATACATTTTCATGTGAAAAGCAAGCTTATATATAAAAGAAACCAATTCATTTCTATTTTCATGGTGGTGTTATTCACAATAGATAAGAAACAGATTCATTCAACATGCATATCAGTGAAAGAATGGACTAAAATTTGGTATGTATCCACAATGACAAATCACTCAGTCTTAATAACCATGCCCTTTTCATAGTAATGTAAGAGTGGCAGGATGAATCATATCAAAATACATTATCTACATGTGTGAAAATGATATGATGAAGTTTAAGATTGGTTTGGAAAATGGGGAAAGGTAAGAAGGAGCGTGATGAAGAAGATGTCTGATCAAGGTACATGGTATGCATATATTAATATGTCAAAATAAAGACTCATATAGATAACTTGTGTCAATAACAGAGAATGGCATGTGACCATTTGTGATAACCTGAGGAAATCTAATAAACATTTGTTAAATGAAAAGCAAACACCATTTAGTTTTATTTATGTGCAGAATCCAATTAGAATCTTTAACGGATAGGTAGGATATTGATTACTGGGGGTTAATATTAGTGGTAGATGGGTGGAGAAAGACATGTTGTTCAAAGTATACAGAATTTATTTAGATGAGAAATAATTAAGTTATTGTAACCTATTGCATTGTACTGTGACTATCCTAAATATCTTTTTTATTGTACTGCCTATGTGAAGTTGCTAGAAGATTAGATTTAAAATATTCTCAAAGCAAAGTGAGTTTTGTTACTTAGATTCAATTAATTGTCCTACATTGCATGTAGGCATCAGAGCATGACTTTATACTACAAAATAAAACAGACATAAATTTGAACATTGAGAGAAGAATGTCTTCTTCTCATTTCCTGGTGGGCACTGGGAAAGTCACTTGTAAGTGAGAACTGAGGAATATAATACGATGGAGAATGTGGAGGAAAGATCTTCCACAAGCACAGGCTTCTTCAGAGGCTTTGGTTATTCATAATGCAGAAATGTCCATCAAGATAGTTCATGGTGAGGGTGGATATGCACAGTATCCTTTATAGAGTACATTCTTTGGGGCAGCAACTGCAGCTGCCAAATGATAGCACTCAATATAGTCTATTGCAAAGAGAAACAGACTCCCAGCTCCAGTCATGGAAATGCACTTCTTTTCTTCTCTTTATAAAACCTTTTTATTACCTTATGCAGCTGCACGAAAGAGGGACCACTTAGCAAAGCAGTCTATGAGTACAATGCATCGTGATCAGTGTCACCCCTTCACAATTCTCACCCTCCTTCGTTCCCCCCGCTTCCCTTTACTTTTCCTAATTTTATGGTATATTCCATGAATTCTTGGCTGCATTCTCCCTATTTCCTGCCTTCATTCATCTCCTCCTCTTCCTTTGGCCTTATCCTTCCGCTGGCAAGCATCCATTTCCTGCTGCTTATCTAAGGCCAATTTTGTCAACCATTTTGCAGTAAACATATCATTATACCAGGACTAGGGATCTTGTGTTAAATAAAATTAAGTCTTGTGTTAAATAAAATATAAGACAATTGCTTCTGTTTTCTTTTACATGCAAATGTAAAATGTAGAAATGTAATTACTAAAGGCTGAGGGTAGTGTGGGGGTAGCTAGTAGGAGGTTGGGCCATGAGTGTCAGAGCGTGTTTAAATAGAAGTAATGTGCTCTAATGTCCTGTAACACAAATGAGCGAATATAGTTCATAATATCTTATTAAATGTTTTGGGAATTACTACAGAGAGGACTTGAATTCCAAACATTAAGAAGATGAAAATGTTAGCCAGTCTGATTTGATTGGTGTGTTTTCATATGTGTATTCAGTCAACATATTGCTTCTGATAATTCAATATAATTAATAACTGTTGGACACCGTCTTAGATATATTTAAGAAGGTAGTCATGCAGACTACGTTCATTTTGACCCATGCACATTTCTGTATGTTTTGGCTTCTCTAACTGTGCCCAATAAAATGTGTAATAAAATAAAAATTGGTCTAAATAACTGAAGATTTGAAAAAAATGTAATAGAAACATCCATGGAAGACACATTCTTGAAAACATGTATAGTTCTGTGGAGGAAGATCTCAACTAGATGAAGCAGCACCAGGTTCCTTGATAAGGTTAATGAGTACTGCATTGGAAATATTCCACAGAGAATTATCTTCCTTTGGGAATATGCTGAGAACTTCATCCAGATTAATTCAGGCAAGATGGTGAGATTTCTCACAAGAGATACATAAAGATCCCTCAATGAAAGCAGGTGAACAAACTTGAGGTGCATCCTTTATTTCTTACCATATGTCTCACAGATAAAATCATCCATGAAGTCGCTTTCTCTCCTGGCCTTACAAGGCAGTCATGTTCCTACATGGCATTCGAACCTGGACCAAACGAACAGTGAAAGACAGCCTATCAAGAATATAATGCACTCCAGGTTATCCGAAGAGGAGAGTTAATAGTCATTAATTTCATAGTCAAACATGTATATATTAAAACACTGACAATCAGACCAGCATTTCAATCGTTAAAAATCTATAAACAACTATATGGCTTTAATCACAGAAATCAAATTAGTCATTGAACAATGTAATTTCAAGGAAGATATAATAACCAAAGATAGCCTTTCAGATAAATGTGCATTGAAAGTAAGCCTGGTAAAAGAATTTCCTTCTGCAGTTTACAGTTACTTTTTCTATGGATATAAAATTCCTCCATGTAGTTAAGTTTATTTTACTTTTATAATGGATGGGCACTGTAATCATAGGTAGTGAAACTTATTCATGAATGGGCTGAATAAAAATTGGCTGGGTGAAGGGCTTTTTATCATTGCTTTCAATATACTTTAATGATCATTGCCATTTTGCTTTGCTTTTATTAACAATTGCCAAATCACATAGAAGCAAAAATGCTTCTATAATTTATAAATATATCCTAAGAAGTCAATGTGGTTTTTATTATGAATAATTTATTTAAACCTTAGATATTAATATCATCTCCACAATCTCATAGTTCAAGAAGATATTACAATCCTAGTTTAGCAGGGAAATTTTCTTCACTTGGAGAATTTCACCATTTTGGCATGGAAGCAATGAGCTCTATCCATCAATGTACTGGACAATGAAGCACATTTCAATTAACTAGGTGCTGCTTCTGTAAATACGTTTTACAGAATGAACACTTGCCAATGTTTAAATAACTAAGAATTTCAACTGTGTAGCACTTATTACTATTGATCAAATTGGAATGTATTTGCAATTGTAAATTTTTCTGTGTGGTCTTGAAGGTATAAGCCTAAAGAAGGCCAAATCCGTAGCTGTTGTGTTGAGTAGTGCAGGTATGTATCTCAGAGCTAGCCTTGTTACCTGCATGATATGTCATGAAGGTAGTACTTAATAAATCTCTTTTAAGAAGAGTAATGACTCTATTAATATATGGAGATTCATAATGATCTTTAGATTATATTTATTAAAAAAGAAAAGCACAGAAGAGTATGCAAATGTGCCTTTGAATGTGCATAAATCACATTATCTATTCACATATGTCACTGAAAATAGGTGAAAATTCTCTAGGATGCAGAAAAAGTAGGAGGTCCACATTGTAGCATTTGCTTAGTCTTACATTGTCCAGCCCGTGGCTATTACCAAATCTGAATTTAATCTTTAGGTTCATGAGCATTTTGCATAGACTTTAAGTTGACAAGGCGAATTTAGGTAAGATAACCAGGTGCAAACTTAAACAGGAAAGAATGAAGAGGAGGAGGATGAAGAAGGGGAAGAAATGAACCTACAGACCTATAGCCATTTAATCTTCGATAAGGGAGCTAAAACAATAGAATGGAACAAAGACAGCCTCTTCAGTAAATGGTGCTGGCAAAATTGGTTAATCACTTGGAGAAAACTAAAGCTAGATCCTTATATGTTACCCTGCACCAGAATCAACTCTAAATGGATCAAAGACCTCGGAGTCAAAGCAGACACTCTGAAAACATTACAAAATGGACTAGGAGAAACCCTTTGGTCTCCTTGGCACAGGCTGAAATTTTCATAAAAGAGACCCAGCAACACAACAAATCAAAGAAAGGTTGGACAAATGGGATTGCATGAAATTGCAGAGCTTCTGCATGGCAAAGGACATAGCAGCAAGATCAATAGAAAGCCCATGGATTGGGAGAAGATCTTCACTAGCCATACAACGAACAAGGGTCTCATATCTAAAATATGCCTGGAACTCAAAATATTAAATCCCCCAGCAACAAATCCTCAAAGAAACAACTGCTCGTTAAATAAGTGGGCTAAAGACCTAAAGAGAAACTTCTCTGAAGAGGAAAGAAGGATGGCCAATAGACACATGAAGAAATGCTCAACCTCTCTAACCATAAAAGAAATGCAAATCAAAACAACATTGAGATACCACCTCACCCCAGTTAGAATGACTATAATCAAGAACTCTAATAACAGCAGATGCTGGAGGGGATGTGGACAGAAGCGAACCTTACTGCATTGTTGGTGGGAGTGTAAACTCGTTCAACCATTTTGGAAAGTAGTATGGAGTTTCCTCAAAAGACTCCACTTAGAGCTCCCCTATGACCCAGCAATCGCACATTTGGGCATTTACACAAATGGTCACAAACAAGACCATACTAAAACTACCAGCACAACTATGTTTATTGCAGCTTTATTTACCATAGCTAAGATATGGAACCAACCCAGATGCCCCTTAGTAGATGAATGGATCAAGAAAATGTGCTATATATACACAATGGAATTCTATGTCTCCATCAGAAAGAATGACATTGGCCCATTTGTTAGGAAATGGAAAAACTTGGAAAAAATTATATTAAGTGAAGTAAGCCAGGCCCAAAGAAACATAGGTCCCATGGTTTCCCTTATTTGCAATAAGTAGTATATGTCTGAGACAAGCAGAAACGGTCAGATAAGTTGATGTTAGGCAAAATGAATCCCAAGATAAGGATTCAAATATTTTTTCTTTCTTGCGATTGTTTCTAACATACTTATAAGATATTTCTTTGTTGCTTTATATGTCCCTCCCCCCACAGTATAACCCCTGCTTTCATTGTATTTGATGTTGGTATAATTTGTGGAATGGAAGGGAAAAAACAAATCATTTAAATGGGGATACAGGTGGACCCATTGCAACAATGATGTGTATAAGACGTTATGTTGAAAAACGAACTTTATAACTCTGGCTGCGGGAGTGTAGGGGAATTGGGTGTGTGTGTGGGGGGGGGGAGACGGGAAGGGATGAGAAGGGGAAACAAATGAGGAGACAAAAATGCTAGATAAGAAATGTACTCATTACCTTGCCCACATAATTGTAACCCCTCTGTATGGTATTTAAACAATAAAAACAAAAACAACAACAATAAAAAACATTGTAATATCTTTACTTGCATTGTATGTATGTTGTATATGTTATTCAAATGAGTATCATGCACCCCATAAAATGTAGATACCCCAGGCCTCAATAAAATCAGTTTAAAAGTAGAAACATTGTACTAGCAATGTGGCTTTGCAGTAGAGTGCTTGCTCAGCATGTATAAAGCCCTGGGTTTGATTCCTCAGTAACACAGAAACAGAAAAAGCCGTAAGTTCTGCTGTGGTAGATGTTAGCTAGCCTTGTACACAAAGAGGCTCAAGGACATTGCTCAAGTCCTGAGTTCAAGCCCTAAGACTGGCAACAAAAATTAAAAATATTAATTTCCTAAAATCATACATTTAAAGAGACATTTGGAAATCATATTATCCTAAGACCTTAAACCTTATCATGTAAGTAACCAAATTTCCTTAAGAGTTTGTGGTATCATTTTGAATTAATATGGAAGATTCTTCATCATAGATTTCAGATGGAAAATTCCCTATTGTAAGTAAAAGAGCTTAATTATTGTTCACTTAACATTCTGTAAAGTGTTCTAAAGTTTTGATGCAATATGTTTAAGTGCAGTTAATATTTTTTATGTTTTCCTAAGTTTATTATCAGGTTTAGGGACACAGTGACAATAGTCATAGGTGATTATGCAGCCATGATAAATTTTCAATATAAAAAATGAAACTGGTTTACATTTAGGTTAGCCAAGCTTCTCCATTTGTGAGCACGTTGATTTTCTTTTTCTTTTTCTTTTTTTTTCAATTTTCATTCCTGACAAAAAATAACAGTAAAAGCAAGCCATATTTATACTCTGCCAACAAATAAAGGCAGATTTTGATATTATGTTGAAAATTTCATCAAAATTATATACCGCATATGACATTTATCTTTCATTTTCTAACTGTATTCTCTCTTTAAAATATCTTCCACTGGCTAGGACAGGCTCATATGTTCTTATTTTCCCTTGTCTTAATATTCCTTTTCTGTAATAATTATTTTCATTATACTGATTGTGTGTATTTGTAAGCAACCCAAAATTTGGACACAGAAGTACAAGACTATTCATTGAACATTGTTCAATGAATCAAAAGTATTATACATACAAGGGGCTGGGAAGGTGGCTCAGTGGTACAGCACTTGCCTTGCATGCTTGAGGCCCTGGGTTCGATTCCCTAGCACCACATAAGCAAAAAGAAAAAAAGCCGGAAGTGGCACTGTGGCTCAAGTGGTAGAGTGCTAGCCTTGAGCTGAAGAGCTGAGGGACAGCGTCCAGGCCCAGAGTTCAGGCTCCACGACTGGACGCACCCCCCCCAAAAGTATTATACATACAAAATCCCAATTGCTTCTCATTAAAGGAAAACTTACCTAAATAGCATATAGGTTAAAAATATTGTGGTAGTTAGGCACAATTTGTGTCAAAAAATTTTTGGTTGCTTTTAAAAATCACTGTGCTAATGTTTAAGAATGAAAATAAATATATCCAAAATGATTAAGATAATACTTAAGGAAAAGTGATAATTATCATAGTTAACAATTATAATAAATAATTAAAAATAATTCAACATGTTTATTAGTGATTGAAGTAAATGACTATGCATATATGATCCTACACATATCAAACAAAACTTTTGTTAATAATAATGAAAACTTCTCACTAGAGACAACAAAAGGAAATTTTGTAAGAGCTTTGTTTTCAATATAGAGCAACATGAAATTCAAAACAAATCTTATATTTTATATTTAAGTAATAGTACCTTAATTATTCAAATTATTTTCCTAAGGTTTATTGAACTATCATGTATAGAAGGCTAAACACTTGGACAGACATTATATTTTGACAAAAGCCAATAGCATCTTGGCTGGAAATTTAATAACCTGATGAATGATTATGTACTTCTCCAGATGGGGATGGACTTACTGAAGAGTTTATTTACAGCCTCTTTCACATCTTTATTCCTCAGGCTGTAGATCATGGGATTCAACATGGGGAATACCACAGTGTAAAACGTGGAAACAATTTTGTCTGTATCCAAAGAATAGCTAGATTGAGGGCGCAGGTAGATGTAGAGGATGGAGCCATAGTACAAGGTCACAGAGGTCAGGTGGGAGGAGCAGGTGGAGAAGGCCTTGAGGCGGCCCTGGGTAGAGCGCATCCTCAGGATGGTGGCGATGATGAACAGGTAGGAGGCCAGGATGAGCACAATGGGGGTCATGACGTTGGACGCCAGGAGGAAATACATCAGAGCCTGGTAGCCCTCCATCCCCCCACAGGCCAGCTTTACCAGGGGAATCAAGTCACAGAAAAAATCATCAATGATGTTGTCATTGCAGAAGTCAAAGGTAAAGGTTTTCTTGGTGATGACGGAAGAGTTAATAAAACCACCCAGATAGGAGGCAGCTACTAAAAAAGCACACAGTTTAACGGACACAGCCTGGGAATAGAGCAGTGGCTTTGAGATGGCCATATAGCGGTCATAAGCCATGGCAGCCAGCAGATAGCACTCACTATAATCCAGCCCAGCAGAGAAGAAGAACTGAGCCACGCAGCCAGCAAAGGAGATGCTCTTGTCTTCAGAGATGCAGGTGACCAGGATCTTTGGGGTGTAGACAGTAGACAGCCAGAGATCCAGGAAAGAGAGATTTCCAATGAAGAAATACACGGGTGTGTGGAGCCGGGAGTCATTGCAGATGAGCATGATGAGTGTAAAATTTCCTACCACAGTCAATGTGTACATGACAAGGAATAGCACAAACAGTACCTTTTGCATTAGGGGGTCTCTTGTGAACCCCAACAGGATAAACTCTGTCACTGTGTGATTTCTCTTCTCCATTTCTATAGGGACTTTCCTTTTGGAAGAGAGAAAATGAGAATTCAGTGTGAATCATTGGGCTGAGAAAAACAGTAAAGATGCTAATATATTCCTCTTATTTATAGATCTGTAGAATGCAAGACTGAACTGCTTTGAATTTTTATGGTATAGTTACAATGTATTGAATGAAGCACTGCTCATTTTCAAATATTACATGAATGTCATTAAACTTTTTTTTGAAATTTTTAAAATTTTATGTAGAGAATAGAGCCATATGGAAAAACATGAAATTCAACTAAAATTCTCTATTATTATTGTAAAGGTGATGTACAGAGGGGTTACCATTATGTAAGTAATTACATAAGTAATGTCATTATAAGGGTTATGTGTAGAGGGGTTATAGTTACATGTCATAAAAAGGGTACATTTGGTTTTGGACAATATAACCCCTTCTTTCACAGTCTCCCAGATTTCCCCTCCTATCATCCATCCATCCATCCATCTATCTATCTATCTACCTACCTATCTATCTATCTATCTATCTATCTATCTATCTATCTATCTATCTATCTATCTATCTATCTATCTATCTATCGTAAGCATAGTGCTTTTTCAACATAGTATCTATTGAATACCACTGCTCCATTTGTCCTGTCATTTGTCCCATCACTTAATTTAATTTTTTTGCTCTTCTCTAGAAACTCTCTTTTTAATCTGCATTTGGTGTTACATGTAGCACAGTCTGATACTTATATAATGGGTTTTGCTAGTGTGATGTGATTATGGTGGTTCTTCATTTCAAGTCAAACACCTAATCCAAAAAAAACACATCTGGATCACAGTCCATAAACATTTGAAGAATGGACTGCAGAAAAACTTAAGAACTCCTGGATTCATTGTGAATATTAATACATTATACTTGTACTACAATATGTTATTCTTGTTATGACACCAGAATTTGCATCATTAACAGACACTTAAGATTCTGAATAATTCACATGTTATTCACTGTTCCACATGGAGCATTTCATTTAATCTTTTCATATCTCTGTTCTCTATGTTGATTAGTGTCAATACTTGTATAGATGACCTGTCTGAAGTGGAACACATAGTAAACAATCACACAACTATGCCATAGTAAGTTCTCTCTCAGGGTAGGTAGATGAAACCTAAGTAACTTGGTGATTCTTTTTGGAGCTTTCTGCATCGTTCATATTTTGGATTTGATACCTTCACTCAAAGCCAGCATGACTACAAGTGATTAAGGTGTTGTCATAGGCTTCCATCTCAAAGATAGAAAAAAAAATCCACCCTGTGCTCAAGTCAGTTCTGGCAGATTCCATTTACATTCCCACCCAGGCCAGGAGCAGACACCTGTAATACTTACCAGCACAAGCAACAGAGAACCACACCACACTATGGAGCCAAGTGATTTATTCTGCCCAGGCTCCCTGGTGAATGCAATTTCTCAAGCACCTCAGGGGTTCATAGTTGTGAAACTTCTTTAAAAAAAGCAATTAGCCAAAAGAAAAAGGTGAATGTTCTTTGAAGAGGGTAAAATGACTAAATGATGATAGGTAAATATGCAGTGTGAAAATATTCTTTAAATGACTTTTAACTGGGTTTGAATACAGATTTAAATATAAATATGAAAATTTCAAAATTTTCAAAAATGAAATAAATGTTTAAAGAACTTTGAAATACATGTTGTAGTTGAAATTGAAGTTAAACCAAAAATGTCTGTAACAAGTAATTAGTCCCAACAAAATTTAGAAGTAAGTCAAATTAAGATCTGTGCTGAAAGCAACTTCAGCTTTGAATTCATGGTCATTTCCCTACACTTTCTTTTACTGGTCAGTAGCTGACTTTTCCATGCTACATATTGTAGTAACGGAAACCCCAAGGTGTTAGTTTAAAAATCAATGCAGTAAAAGAGCAGGGGAGAACCCAGAAGGAAGTCCATATACTTACAACTAACTGATTTGGGGCAACCGTATTTTAATCACATACTGAAGAATGATATTATGTTACCAAATAGTGTTGCAATACTAGATACAAAAGAATTTAAATCGACGAGAAATTTAAATCTCTATATAAAAGGAATTTTAACTTAATTAAAAGTTAAAGGAAGAAGGCTGGGAAGGTGGCTCAATGGGAGAGTGCTTGCCTTGCATGCAGGAGGCCCTGGGTTCGATTTCTTAGCACCACGTAAGCAGAAAAAGCCGAAAGTGGTGCTGTGGCTCAAGTGGTAGAGCGCTAGCCTTGAGCTGAAGAGCTGAGGGACACCACCCAGGCCCAGAGTTCAGGCCCCACGACTGACAAAAAAAAAAAAAAAGTTAAAGGAAATAAAAATTGCAACTACTAGAAAAAAAAACTTAAATGGCATGCTTTACAATTGTGGTCTAAGAAATGCTAGAATATGAAAGAAAAGCAACAGCATTAAAAATAGGAAAATGTAGGGTTACATTTAATATCTTTTATTCTATAATCACAGAACACTAGAAGAAAAGATGATTTTTAGCATGTTCTCCATAAACAAAAAGTGACTGAGGAGACAGATTTACTCAAACAGTTTTGTACACAAACATGTTTATAGTTATAAATATATAAGTACTTTGGGGTTGTATGCAAATATACACAAATTTATTAACCAAACTATTGACAAAAAGAAAGAAATATAGTATTTGCAGGAGACAATTCAAATGGGGTCATTCCTTAGAAAACAAAGATGGAGCGTGAGCACAGGGTTTCACAGTCTCACTTGACTATTTCATTCATGGCTGGTGCTTTACCATTTCAACCATATCTCCAGTTCTGGTACATTGTTGGTTAATTGGAAAGAAGAATTTCAAAATATTGTCTGTCTAGGCTGCTTTTAAACTGTGATTCTTGTATCTTAGACTCCTAAGTAGCTAGGAGTATAGGTGTGAGCATCACCAACCAGTTATTAATGCTATGTGCTTAATTCCAGTATATGTATATGTAAATATATATATAAATATATGTATATATCCTACATTTATTTGTGAAATGTTGTGTAAATGTTTGTGAATATATAAATGCTTTTCTACATTTATTATCGGTTTCATGTCTGGATGACATTAAATAATATCTGGGTGACATTATTTAAACATGATTCTAGAGTCCAGGTAAATATTTTATTCAAAAGCATGAAATATGTTTATTCTTTTTCATTTTGTTTTTTATTTTTTAAATTTAATTTTATTGTCAAGCTGATGTACAGAGGGGTTACTGTTACATATGTAAGATAATGAATATTTGTTTGTTGAACATTGTTATCCCCTCCCTTGTTTTTCTTATTCTTTGGTTAGCCAAGCTTCTATATCTGTGGAAATGTTGATTGTTATTTTGGAATCGGGAACTGGGGTGCTTTCCCTAAGAGTATTTGAATTAGTCCCTGGACAGTCATTGGAACATGTGTTTTGTAGTTAATGTGTCAGTGCTTAAAAGTATCAATCTGTTTGTACATTCGTTAGCTGGGTGCTCAGGGCTCACATCTATAATCCTAGCTACTCAAAAGGCTGAGATCCTGGAGATGACAGTTTGAACTCATCCTGGGCAGAAAAATCCATGAGACTCTGTCTCCAAAATAACCAACAGAAAACAGGTCTGGAAGGAGCAGCGTGCCAGCTGGGCAAGCAGGCTGAATAACTACGAGACCATAACCTCTAAAATCATATTTCCCCTCCCAACAAAGGGAATTGTTACCACACTCGTAATAGTTTTACACTTTGAAATCATTTGTTATTCTTTATTATCTTTAAGTAGTTTTACAGAGGAGTTGCCATTCAACAATGCATTTTATGAATACAATGTCTTAGTCAATGTCACTCCTTTGAAGATTCTTACCTCTATACTCCTAGCTACTTAGGAGGCTGAGATATAAGGATCACAGTTTGAAAACAGCCTAGACAGACACAATTTTGAGACTTCTTTCCAATTAACCAACAAAGAACCAGAACTGGAGATATGGTTGAAATGGTAAAGCACCAGCCATGAATGAAATAGTCAAGTGAGACTGTGAGACCCTGTGCTCACGCTCCATTGTTGTTTTCTAAGGAATGACCCCATTAGAATTGTCTCCTGCAAATACTATATTTCTTTCTTTTTGTCCATAGTTTGGTTAATAAATTTGTGTATATTTGCGTACAACCCCAAAGTACTTAGGTATATATAACTATAAACATGTTTATGTTTAAAACTGTTTAAGTAAATCTATCTCTTCAACCATCATCCTTACTTTTCTTAATTTTGTATCATATGAATTGGAATTTTGACTGCATTTCTTCCTTTCTTCTCTCCATTTGTTTATCCCCCATCTCTCCTTGAGCCCATTTTCCTCTTTAAAGTTCCAAGTGCTTATTTTGTTGACCTTTGTTTTAGCCTTTCTAAGGAATTACACCCAGTTCTCCCCTGAACCTACCTTTCTTCATTAATATATTTATGTACACTGGCATTCCTCCAAGTATTTACTCATATATTTATAAACGAATTCTAACTTCCACAAATGAGAGAAACACGCAACCTTTGTCTCTCTGGGGCTACTTACTTCATTTAATGCAACTTTTTTTTTTCCAGGTCCCTCCATTTTGTTGCAAATGATACAATAGCATTCTGTTTTCTTGATCCATTTGTCTGTTGTGAGTCATTGTTTCAAGTTTTGTAGCTAGTCTTGCTTCTCTAATTTTTTTGTTCCATTTAATTGACATGAAAGAACCAAATGTTCTGTATTGTTATATACCACTTTTAATGTTATTTTTTAAAAAGCATTTTTACAGCAATTATATTATCATCAGCTAGAAGCAGAAAAAATCATTAAAAAAACAGAGACTGAGTTGGCATAACTTTCCACATAAAACAACTTAAAATTACACTAGCAGTTCCTATTTCTAAAGGGCTACAATTTGTTTCCATGATTACAGATTATATTCTTTGACCTCGAAGCCAGGTCAGCCAGTGTGAGCACGGGTGCAAAATCAAATATTCCCGCACTGTGTGAA